ATGCGTGGGTTGGGGTGGGGGGCTGGTGGGGTCCCCGGCGTATTGGCCTGACCCAATCCCCTTGGGGCCAGCTGGCTCCCATCCCCCTCAGACCGGCCACGCCTGGAACCCCCTCAGCCTGGGCTGCCTCTAATCCCCCTCCCCCAGCTGCCCAGTTTGGTCCAGATCCCCCTTTGGCTGGGGAGCCGGCCAGTGTGCGTGGTGCAGAGGCCGGTGGGGCTCGGGCGCAGGCAGGCCTGGGTTGCAGACTGCGACAAATTGAGGATTTCCCCTTGTTATCTGGTATGGAGCCAATGGGAATCTTGCTGTTCTGCATGAACACTGGGCGTGCCTCAGTTTCCCTATGTACTGTGGCAATTCCAAAACATCACCCCCATGTCTCCAAGACACAGAGCCTCATGGCTGCCTATGAATCTCTTTCCTGGAGAGGATGGCAGCATGGAAGCAGAGCTGGCATCCCCTACCTCTACCCTTCTGCCCCCAATCTGGTAGAATACCAGAATGGGAAGCAACCTCAAGAGGTCATTGAGTCCAGTCCCCTGCCCTCCTGGCAGGACCAAGCACCGTTGAGATCATCCCTGACCGGTGTCTGTCCAACCTGCTCTTCGATCTCTCCAGAGATGGAGATTCCACAACCCCCCCAGGCAATTTATTCCAGTGTTTCACCACCCTGACAGGTAGGAAGTTTTTCCTAATGTCCAACCTCAACCTCCCTTGCTGCAGTTCAAGCCCATTGCTTCTTGTCCTGTCCTCAGAGGCCAAGGAGAACAGTTTTTCCCCTCCTCCTTGGGACACCCTGTTAGGGGTTTGCCCCCTTTTTGGGGTTGACCCCCTTCGCAGTCATTGCAACCCCCTCTTCACTCCAATGTCCTTTAGTCTGGTGATAACACTCCTTACTGCCCGAGGAGCCCTCGTGTCCGACGGGAGGGACGGGGGACCTGGACCCTCCCTCTCTCCGGGTCCCAGCCCAGGACCCTAAGAACAGATGTGACTTACGTCCTGTTTGGCCGGGGGGGGAGCAATGCCGCAACTCACCCCCCAACTCACCGTCCTGGGCTCCTTCCTTCCCTCTTGGCCACGCCGGTCCCCTGGTGCCTCTCTGGCCTTGACTTCTTGGGGTCTCGCTGCTCCTTGGGACTTCCCCACTGCTTGCCCGCCTTGCGGGCTCTTGCAGCCTCCACGACTCCTCTCCTCCATCCCCACCAAGGGTGGGCGCTCTCCTTTTTAAAGCCGGCTCCCTCTTCCCGGGGCACCGGCGCATGCACTCCTCGGCCCTCTGGTGCGTTTGCCGGGGGAATTCCAGCGCCTGTGCAAGCGGCTGCAGCTGAACAGAATCTGCAGAGCCGCTTGGTGCTGCGACGCCGGGGCCAAGCGCCACTCTGGGGTGGGGGACGGGGCTTACTCCTTCAGCCCGTCACCCCCTTAATACACCCTTTTAGATACTTGAGAGCCCCTCTAAGTCGTCTCCTTTCCAAGCTAAACAAGCCCAGTTCTTTCAGTCTGCCCTCCTAGCTCATGTTCTCTAGACCTCTCATCATGTTTGTTGCTCTTCTCTGGACCTTCACCAATTTCTGCACCTCTTTCCTGAAATGTCCCTTATCACGTAAGTCTGGCTTGTGGTTGGTCCCACACAGACTGGAATCTATCGTCAGTATCATACTTTTCCACTCGGGTGGGGGGATTGAACAAATTTTCCCCAGGCTGAGGAAATTCTTTACAAGGAATGGGAAGCAAACTGGCAACAGCAGCCAATGGTAGTGGAGAGACGTCGCTCAGACTCTGCAAGGAAACAAATAGCCTGGCACGTCGGCGGTTTGCCCTGCTGGGCCGGGAATTGAAGTTTGACGACCTCTTCCCCCAGTGGGAAAAAACGTGAAGCACCGTGACCCAATCCTAACCGACCCCCGCTCTTCACAGCTTGATTTTTTTACCCACAAAATTCAACTTCTGCTCAAGTATATACAGCACTGAGGGGGTTTTTTTTGCTGTTGCTTGTGACCACCTGAATCCTATTCTTTATACATCATAAAATCACTTTTTTTATTACAAAATCTCGTGTAAATAATTGCCATGGGGGAAGAAGAGCTGGGCATCTCTCTCTTTCATCGAGAAAAGGGGTGAACTGCTTAGGAGGTTGCTCTGTAAAAAAAACGTTATGCCGAGCAAGACACATTTATCTGGGGTTTTGGTCCCATTGAAGCAAGGCGCTTAGGTGCAAGGAGGAGTCCTTGTGACTGAGCCTTCTCACAGCTGAGCTGCTCTCAATGTCTGTGTTGCTTTGTTGGGGGCTGTGACCCCAACTCTGCTTTTTCTAGGGAAGAGCAGAGGTCCTGGCTCAGCAGAACAAGGCGGAGGGATGGCCCCAATAGCAGATGAGTGGGCTTATTGGTACCATCAGGTGACAGTCTGAAGGGGATTTCTGTGGCCCAACCCATCCCAAGGCAGAATAAATAGCAAGTGGAATTTCAACAATTCCTAGGCCTTTGAATGAGGAAATGTAGGATTCCTTGGTTTCTGGCTGTAGGGGAGAGGACTTCAAGCGGCTGACCAGACCAGTCAGGATAAGCATTGGAGGACTCCTCCTAGGAGCCATTTACAGAAACAAAACCAACTGTTTCTGTCTGTTGGCTGTTGGCATCAGCGCCGGCCGCTTGTTGATATGACGTAGCTATAAAAAAGCTGCCTTTTGTCGAGGGGACTGTACTTTGTCGGCAAAATCAGAGCTTTTTCTTAGCAAAGTTTGTGCTGTTGTGTGCACACCTTCGCTGTTTTGTAGACAAAGGCTCCACCGTTTTGTCGACAAAGGCTGACTTTCATTGACAAAACTCTGAAGTCTAGGAAAGGCCTAGCTGATAAAAAATCTATTCTTTCCAACTTTCTGTACACGTAACAGTAAACGTTACTCCCCCTCACTCCTTCTGGTGTGGTTTAACCAACTCCTGGATCTGTATTTATACTTTGGTATTCCTTAGGTTTTAATATTTTAAGGAGTCTACAAATGTCAAAATTGAGTCATCACATTTTAATGAAAGTTTGGTGTCTCATTCCCTTAGGCTCCTTTGAAACCACCACCTTGATGTTAAGGCCTTACTACCTTTGAGGGTTTAGGCCAGAAAACTCTGCTAAAAGGGCACAAGGCAGTGGTGTAATCATGTAAGAAAAGTTTATTAAAACATGACACCGAGCGCTGACAGATGTGATATAGTTACTGTTTTATGGTGGCACCGAAGTCGTTGCCAGCGCATCTTAAGAACCTGTTCTGGAACACAAATGACGTTCTGTCAGTGCACGTGGAGGTTAGTCAAAAGCGTCAAGTGTCACTAGCAACTGCCTGGGTGAAATGGAGAAATACCTCACAACGGACATGACCACACACACAGACAACATGGGTCTGGTCCACCTTTAAAACAAATTTGCAGAGTCACTGTCTCCTCAGACATAAGGGGGGAAGTCACTCCTGTCCTCGGCATCTCATCGGGGAGGGTCAGGGGTTCCAGCCCCAATGTCTCCGCTGGGAGAGGGGGCTGGGCCCTGGGTCCCAGAATCTCCTCAGGTGAGGGCCAGGCAGAATCTCTCGAGGACAGTGGGGCTGAATTGTACTGACTGGTCCTGGTGGTGGTCCCATTGAAGCCGTGGCTCCCCCTTACTCCTTCCGGCATCGTTTGGGATAGGAAGGACTCTTGTCTGGTGACAGGCAGAGTGGAAAGCCCCATCCCCAGCTGGCCACTCTTCCTGGTGTGGTACCCCCAACTATGGTCACTCTGCAGTAGAACTATCCCATCCTATCAGTTCCCGCCCTTTCCATATTCTGGAAAACAATCCCATTCCTGGCACATCCCATTTTCTTGAAATGAGCAAACCCGGACCTTGTTTCAAGTTACAAGAAGAGGAGTCGGCACACCAAATTGAATGGCCCTAGCTCTTACCATTTCTTGAGTTCGTCAACAAATGGACGCACAGACGGACGGATGGACCTCCCCATGGACAAACACATAAACTCTAAGAAAGAAAGAAAGAAAGAAAGAAAGAAAGAAAGAAAGAAAGAAAGAAAGAAAGAAAGAAAGAAAGAAAGAAAGAAAGAAAGAAAGAAAGAAAGAAAGAAGCATAGTGCTACCAGAGAAATATGGTTAACATTGCTTTGTTTTAGTGGATCACTTGATTTACCCACACTGCCCATTTATATCAACAATATCTGGGCCAAGAGACAAGAACGGTCATGTTGAACTGAAAGCCTTTTTCAAGATATCCTTGATCTCTTTGTTCCTGAGTGTGTAAATGAAAGGGTTGAGTAATGGCGTCATGACCGTGTTCAAGAGGGTGACAACTTTGTTCATATTCAGTGAGTTCTGCTTCGAAGGCTGGACGTAGAGGAAGATGGAGCAGCTGTACCATATCACCACAACGGTGAGATGGGCAGAGCATGTGGAGAAGGCCTTTTGCCAGCGTTGGGGAGATGGGATTCGAAGGACAGTTGAGATGATGTAAATGTAGGAGACCAGGGTGACCACAAAGGAACCCAGAACGACAATAAATGAGAGAGTAATATAGACCCTCTCAATGAGGTGTGTGTCTGTGCAAGAGAGAGCTATCCAAGAGTCTATGTCACAGAAGAAATGGTTGATTATTGTAGGGCCGCAGAAGGCCAACCTGCTGATCAGAAACGTTGGCCCAGAAACCGTCAAGAAGCCACCTACCCATGAGCCAAAGGCCAGCTGAGCCGAGAAGGTGCTGTTCATGGTGGAGCTATAGTGCAATGGGTGACAGATGGCCAAAAAGCGGTCATAGGCCATGACGGCCAGGAGGAGATATTCAATGCAGCCCAGGGAGAAGACAAAGTACATCTGGAGGAGGCAGCTGAGGAAGGAGATGGTTTTGCTTGGTGACACCAGGTTGACAAGTGTCTGGGGAATGTACGCTGTGGTGAACAAGAGGTCCAGTAAGGAGAGGTTGCAGAGGAAGTAGTACATCGGAGTGTGGAAGAGACGGTGGGTCCCCACCACGCAGATGATGGTGATGTTTCCTGTGAGTGTCAGGAGATACATGAACAAGAACAGCATGAAGAGCGAGATCTGCAGATACCAAGAGCCAGGGAACCCAAGCAGAACAAATTCCTTCACATAGGTTTGGTTTCCCGTCACCATTGAGTGCGCTGCATGCCACAATGGAAAGAAAAACAGAAGCAATCTTGTTAGACATGAGGGACAAGTGACTACTCTCTGAGTAACTACCTACTGGCACAAAAGTAAAGCCCGTTGCACACCAGAAGGAATTCTGTCAACTGATCTCCTGCATGACGCAGACTTGACAATTTCACCCAAAAAGCCCAATAACTAAGGGTACGTCTAGACAACATGCTTCTTTCGAAAAAAGCGTTTTCAAAAGATCTTTTTTTGAAAAAGGTGTTATTCCTCGTAAAATGAGGCTTACCGCTGATGAAAAAAACCTCTGCGTTCTTTCGATTTAATTTCGAAAGAATGTGGCGGCAGTCTAGACACAGGTGACTTTTTTAAAAAAGACTCTGTAGTCTAGACACACCCTAATGGTTCAGCTAGTGGTAGAACCTATCGCTAAGGCAAAACACACATTGACCAGATGTCCCTTGTCACACTAGACTGTTGTACCCTGCCGGGCACACAACACAACATGAATGGAGGGGTACATATTTGAGCTCCTATTGGGAGCTATGAGTATGTTGTCTCTCAGAGTTAGATTCTTTATGGCAGGCTGGCAACTAACTCGCTTAGGTTCCTTTCCAAATCCCAGACTTTGTTTCCTCTCCCTGCCCCTGGGCGCGTCCACACAGCAGCGTTATTTCAGAATCACGGCCATGATTCCAAAACAATGCGAGCATCTACACAGCAATTCCGTTATTTCGAAATATATTAAAAATAACAGATGGCTCATTCCAACTTCTGTAAACCTCATTCCACAAGGAATAACACCTCTTCCGAAATAGCTCTTTCAGAATAGCGGTAGTGTGGACGCTCCACTACTGCTCTTTCAAAATAGCTCCTCCCCTAGGGCCATTCAAAGTAATTACTCCCCAGTGCCTCCCAGGACTCTAAATTGAGGTAGCATATCCACATTAAGGGATCCTGCCTCAGACTAATTTTGAGGATTCCCTGGAGTGTAGATGTGCTATTTCGAAATAAGCTATTTTGGAATATGTCTTTCGGAATAGCTTATTCCAAAATAAGCATGCAGCAGTGTAGACATACCATCAGAGAACTGGGAAAGCTGTCCGGCCTCACCTCCCAAAACTACAAGAAGAGCCCGGACTGACTCGTCTCCATACCACCACGCTAACTGAAATCCACTTCCCTCCTAGAGCTGGAAAGGGAACCAAGGAGTCCCGACTCCTAGCCCGACAACTTTAACCCTTCATTCCACTCTGAATCCAAGCCCCATCTGGGTCCATGGAACAGACTCCTCATCCGGTGCCTGAAACAACCCCTTGACTTAAATGTTCCAAAGAGACAGCTGATTTGGGATGTCTCTGTACTTTGATGTCGACCTCAAGATATTTTACAGACATTGACCTGGTCTCCTTGGTCTAGCATTAAATGAAAGTCTCCTCTTGTTGCTGTTGTTGAAGATGACTGTTGATGTTGATGACCAAGTTACAGTGGGGGAGTCTAGGTTGGATATTAGGAAAAACTATTTCCTGAGGAGGGTGGGGAAACACTGGGATGGGTTCCCTAGGAAGGGGGTGAAATCTCCATCCCTAGAGGTGTTTAAGTCCCAGCTTGACCAAGCCCTGGCTGGGATGATTGAGTTGGGGTTGGTCCTGCTTTGGGCAGGGGGCTGGACTCAATGACTCCTGAGGTCTCTGCCATCCCTGGGATTCTGTGATATTTCCATATTTGACGTATCCCTCCTCTGAACCACTGGTAACTGTGATGGCCCTACAAATTTCCAGACAACATTCACCTCTCCTTCAAGGCATTCTTTCTCTTAAGATGCCATTAATAAACAATTCAATAAGCCAAGCCTTAATAAATGCTTCACCGATCTGAATCAAGTCCAACCATGGCAGACATGTTGTTTGTGAATCTAACTTAGGTTCTCACACATCAACAGCAAGTTTAAAAATGATTTTATGTTGCTTATGTCTTCAACATGCTTGTAACATACTAAATAGGCCAGGCAGAATTTGATTATTTGTGATCATTTAATTGACAGCATCAATGTTTACATTTCAGCCTTGCTTTTTAGTTTAAATTTATTTTAAAAATTCATAGTTGCGACTTGATGCGTGTGTTTCTATTTTCACAGATTATTTTTTTTTCATGCTTCTCCTTAATTAAAGGAAGAGGGCAGGCAATAATTCACCACAATAGATGCTGAAATTCCAAGTAAAACACCACCTCTCATTAACACACATCAGAATGTACAAACAAAATGGCCTTCAGTGAAACTCATGTCCTTACGCACAACAAGAATGATGAAAGGTCTAGAGAACATGACCTATGAAGGAAGACGGAAAGAATTAGGTTTGTTTAGTTTGGAAAAGAGAAGATAGAGAGGGAACAGGATAGCAGTTTTCAGATATCTAAAAGGGTGTCACAAGGAGGAGGGAGAAAACTTGTTCATCTTGGTCCCTGAGGATAGAACAAGAAGCAATGGGCTTAAACTGGAGCAAGGGAGGTTTAGGTTGGACATTAGGAAAAAGTTCCTAACTATCAAGGGTGGTCAAACACTGGAATAAATTGCTTAGGGGAGCTGTAGAGTCTCCATCTCTGGAGATATCTAAGAGTAGGTTAGATAAATGTCTATCAGGGATGGTCTAGACAGTATTTGGTCCTGCCATGAGGGCAGGGGACTGGACTCGATGACCTCTCAAGGTCCCTTCCAGTCCTAGTATTCTCTGATTCTATGATTTTCCTTTCTGTGACTTCCTATGAATTTGGGGTATCAATGTACAAATGTTTATGTTAGTTGATTTGTGGATGACGAAATCATTATTTAAGTAATTTGCCGTTCCTTCAGAGCCTCTTTATCAAGGGTTTATAAAGTAAATATAAAGAGGAGGGGGCATTGTCTTCAGTGTAATGAACTACTTGGAAAACTACACGGTCTTCAGGATATTTCAAAAGCATAGCTTTTGTACTTAGGGTATATCTACAGTGCTTGGCTATTTTGGGATACCGGAGGTATCCCAAAATAGCTATCCCATGTCTACATAAGCTGCCCGTTATTTTGAAATATTTTTCAAAATAACAGGTGCGCTATTTTTCCACACAGTATCCTTAATTGCACGAGGGATAAGGGATGTCTCAAAATAGCATATTATTTTGAAATTTAGCACTGTGTAGACACACCAAATTTCAAAATAAGATATTTTGAAATAGATTCAATATAAGTTGGAATTTGCATAGCGCAACTTGCGTATCTTGTTTTGAATTTAGGGTGCTGTGTCAATACACCCTTGGCCTACGTCTAGACTGGCATGATTTTCCGCAAATGCTTTTAACTGAAAAGCTTTTCCGTTAAAAGCATTTGCGGAAAAGAGCGTCTAGTTTGGCATGGACGCTTTGCGCAAAAGCACTTTTTGCAGAAAAGCATCCGTGCCAATCTAGATGCGGTTTTGAGCAAGAAAGCCCCGATTGTCATTTTCATCATCAGGGCTTTATTGCGCAAAACACTTTTTAGCTGTCTACACTGGCCCTTTTGCACAAAATCATTTTCAGAAAAAGGCTTTTGCCCGAACGGGAACGTCAAAGCATTTGTGCAAGAAGCACTGATTTCGGACAGTAGAACGTCAGTGCTTTTGCGCAAAATCAAGTGGCCAGTGTAGATAGCTGGCAATTTTATCCACAAAAGCAGCTGCACAATTTCACAATTCCGTGGTGAAATACACAAGTTGGAATGAAATCCATGATCCTTAGTGAGCTTAGATAATTGCAGGACTATGTCTTCCCCTTCCCTCCGACGATACTGTCTGTGACCCAGAATAAAAATAGGGGACAGTTATTTTATTTTGGAAAGTATCTGGCTGCAGTGTTTGCAAAATGACAATTTTTGCAAGACAAGAAGAAGGAGGCCAGAAACCAGAAATGCAAGGGGAATTGTTCAAGATATTTTTATACTGCAGAGTGAGCACAGAGCAGTATCTCCTGGGAATTACATACTCAAATCTATCGAATTTCAGTGGGATTTCTGAAGCAAAGTCCTTTAGAACCTGATGAAAATCTAAGCATAAAAAATAAATAAAACAACAGAAACAATAAAAGAAAATCAGACTGCAAAAATTGTTCCATTTCGGGAATCCACACTGACGTTCATATGAGTGCTAGGAATTACCATAGTAAAAAGATAAAAGATTAGGTTCTGATTTTAGCTGCGCTGATGTGAAATCCTAAATATGGTGGGAAGACAGACAAAAAACTTTCAAAAAACACTCACTGCGGGGAATGGGGAATCCGTGGTCACTTCGTGAATGGGAATTGATGTTGGATGTCACGTCAAACGTAGGAGAAAGTGATTTGTCAGCATGGAGAGAAAACCAGTTCAGGAATCATATATTTTTGGAAAAAGGACAATAATTTGCTTCTCAAACACAGAGACTTTGAAATTTGTCGAAAAGTTCTAACACTCAGCCTGCCCTAATGGAGACACAAATCAGTTCTCATTAACAGGATATGCATTTCTAATTGAAAATGACCAATGTATATCTTATATGCTTGTGTTTTCCTACCCCTAACTTACTAACGTTCTTTCTTGCTTTCTTTCTATCCCCTAACCCTCATCTATCTACCTATCTATCCTCAGACACACTTCCTTCCTTCCTTCCTTGGTGTGTCTGACCCTCTCTGTCTCACCTCATATGCGCCTGTCTTTTTATGTGCTCTCTTCAAGCAAAATAAAAGTGTTCAGCTCACAGCGACTTATTTCATCAGCTCAGGTGTCACCTTGGGACACGGGCTTCGGAGAAATCCCCGCTTTCTCGGAAGGACGGGGTAATTTGCTTGGGGAGACATGAAATAAATAACTCAAGTTAGTTCTCAGAGGAGCTGGCTGAAAATCCCACACGTGCTGTGAGTTTTGTGAACTCATACTTTATTTGCATAGAATTTCCTGCACTAAACTAATATTTTACAGGTTCTTGTATCATGACAAACCTCCAACCATGGGTATTGTTCCCAAAAGTGTGGGCAGACTAACAAAACATAGGGAGAAGATGCTTTTGCCAGCCAGGGAATCAGAATGGGTAAATCTACACTATGGTATAAGGTTGAATTACCATATGCAA